TGGTAATCGGAGCACTAGGTGCAGTGACTCCCAAGCTAGGCGAGTGGCTAATTTTGGGTATACACAGCACTTCAACTACTAGAGACAAAGATAAAATCCATTCATCTATTCTGTCTGTGGTAGAGGAACCTAACCCAGCTATCATAGGGGAAGAGGCAGGGTATACCCTCGACAGGTCGCCAGTCTGTCAGGACTAACACAGACAGACAGATACTTATTAATGGGCAATTTAGAATTACCAATTAACCTAACCTAACTTCATTTTTTTCCACCGTGGGAGGAAGCTGGAGTACCTTGAGAGTACTCACACAAACAAGGGGAGAAGATGCAAACTCCACACAGAAAGGTCCCGGCCAGATAGTGGAGTCAGTCTCAGAAACTTCTTACTGTGAGGCAACAGTGCTAAACGTTGTGCTACTGAGCCACTGATAAAATACACATTTCATATTATTAATTATTATAGACAGTTTTTACTTGACATAACCCTGTAACAGTATCTGACAGCATCATTTGTTGTTATCGTCACTGTTCTCTTCCAGTGGTTCAGTTCTCATTTTCTTTTCTTAACTCTACGTGTGTAAATATGCTATTTATGTGTAGGTAAGTCTATCCATCTTGTATGTGTGGTATGAGGTTGACTGATGGTGGGGCAGTAGCCGGAATGGCATGGATCCGGAGTAGCGGCTGTCAGTGTTCTCCTTCAGGGCCACGGCTGGTATTGATTGCCTGAGCCTGACCAGGTGTCTGAAGAGAGGGAAGCAAAAAGAACAAGATCAGCCATGCAGAGAGAAAGAGAGAAGTAGAGGGACTGAGTGGAGAGTGGACATGGCTTGCTGAGTTGACCGTAATGAAGGATGGGAGGTGGAGTGGTAGAAGGCAGCGAACAGACAGAAAATTAAATATTAAAAGTCAGTTGAATTAACCTCACACTTAAATAGATTTTTTACCTTTCATTAAACTGTCAGCTGTATGTTATTTATGCCACGTAGGCACAGGAATTATTTTTGTCATGTCAGGAAAGTCATTTAGTTGCATAACCGCAGGTTGTCAACCAACAATGCCAATGAGCAGATTTTTTTCTGCTAAATCTCGATCATCTTTCAATATAACTGTCTGGAAGTTTTATTCCCAAAATTTCCTTTTATCCGGAGCTTTGTTGCAACATATATATATTATATATATGCCAAAAATATATTTTGTTTACTTGAGGGAAAAAACAAACAGCAAAACAACCCCAGCCACTTACAAAGTACCTAAATATTCTGCACAGACAAAAGTAGCTGCTCTAGTTAACAGGGACAGATTGGTATGTGGAGAGATAGAAGAAACCTGCACTAATTTGGTAACATCTGACTTGTTGAAGGACAGGCAGGGGACAGCTGAGAAACATGAGAAGTGGTTTCAATTCAGGGCAAGGGCACGGTGACCCTCCTCTACAATACAACAGCAGGCGAGTTAGAGTGCAAAAATGAGAGGGGACCTAGGAAAGCACGCATGCAAGCCTAAGGAGCCTGGGATGGTTGAATTGGATAGCTGGATATGTCCTTTCTGTGCTGTGGTTCACAGACATGGTGACGTTGAAAGAGCAGCTGTGAACTGTCAGTTGCCAGTCAAAGATGGGTGGGCCATCCCACAGAAAGAGCTGCATTCTGGGATGCTCCTCTCTCTTGGAAAGATGCCGGTGTTATAGCTATGATGGATTCTCTAAGTCACAGGTGGCATCGACTTTCTTCCTCAACATTCCATCGCTCAGTATTCCCATCAAAGATTCAGCATCTGATAATTATCATATCAGTTTTGAGTCAAGGGTTTCAGATGTCTGTGGTGTGGGGCAGCACTGGTACCAACAACATCTCAAAACATACGTGAGAATCTTTCTCCCTTCGGTCTTCAGAGAAATCATGAAGATTGGGCTGTCACAGAAAATATTAACACACTCCCTTAAATACATGCACAGCATATTTGAACTACCCTCATTTTTTGGACTCTTGGGTCTTTAAGTTTCTAGACAGTGACACAGTTGCTGTAGGTTTTCCTCTGTACACCATTTTACCTGAAATATGACTGAAGTGCAAATTTTCATCATCATTTCATGGCCAGGTGAGACCTGTACCCTTGTTATTTCATGAAATAATAAGCCGATAAAGAATATAGAGTTAATTCCAAGTGTTAAGTTTGCATTTGTATTGTTTTGCTGAAGAGCAAAACAAAAACAAGATCATAAAGATAGCAAAAAAGTTTAGAAGTGACCAAATCAACAATCTGATGACTTAAGAAAATAGTCATTAGGAAGAGATAGGCGCATCACTGTCAGACTCTGCAAACCACTGGCTCCAAGACAAGAAGAGAAAATTAGACTTGTGGAAAACATCTATAATAGGATACAAAGACCTGGAAAATGTATTGACATGAATATTTGAAATTATTTGTCTACCGAAATATCTGTACATAAGGGTAAAAGCTGGAAATCAATATTAGATGGTTGTGATCTTTGCAGCCCAACACGACACTGCAATAAAAGCAGGTGTTACTCTGTCATGGACATCAATGCATGGGCTCAGGAACAGTTCCATACATTGGAACACAGTTCATCATGCCATCCACAAATCAGGGAAAAGTTTTGTATTTTTTTCTACATGATGAAGAAATACTGTGTTGCACATAAACTGCACGAAATAAAAGTGTAGAATTACAGAAAATGTTCTGTTGGCTCATTGTGCACACAGTCCTATACTGCGAACCCACTGTAGAAATCATACATTTCTACAGTAGTTATTGAAAAGGGAAAAAATGGGAACATTCTGTAATTTAATTTTTTAAAATCTATTACTTAATTACTTTGGTTAGTATGAATGGCCATGGAGGAGGATCTTCTTCGGCAGGAAAAGATACAGGAGTTGTTAAAATACAGTGAAAAGTTTATCAATTGTCTTCTCCTTCACATTTTCCAAAGCCACACTGCGGGCCAGTTACAGTCTTTGGGGGGCCTGTTCTGGCCCCCAGGCATTATGTTTGACACCCCTGGTGTAGATCAAAGAAATGGCCTGCATTTGTATAGCGCTTTACACTACATTCAGTCATTCACAGCAAGCTACATTGTAGCCACAGCCACCCTGGGGCGCACTGACAGAGGCGAGGCTGCCGGACACTGGCGCCACCAGTAGGCAAACACGGGGTTAGTATCTTGCCCAAGGATATTTGGCATGCAGCCAGGAGGCAGCCTGGGATCGAACCACCAACCTTCTGATTAGTAGCTGACCTGCTCTGCCACCTGAGCTACAGCCACCCCAGAAGAAGTGCAATGATCGAAACCTGACCAATCACTCTGTTTGATTCAGTGTGTTTATGCCTTCCATAGCATAAACCAGCTTCGGTGGGTGGTGGGACATTGCTCACCATTAAGATGCGAGGAGCATTTCTAGATAACAGCCATTTGATAAGTGAAGAAAATACCAACTCTTTCTAACCTTCACACCTACAGTAAGGAACCCTGACCTCCAAAGTGTGTTTGACAAAAGTGAAACTCAGCTTATTTCAGTGGCCTTTCCCCATTACCACCCCAGCCTCACTCATGTGACCTCCTCCTCCCCTTTCACATGCTCCCACACTCCAACTACAGCTATGTATGGGCCAAGGGTTGGTGGGGGGGTGTGCGGAGGCTGACGGGGGTGAGGTTACAGCTGCAGCACCCGTCTTGAATGACTGAGCTGTAAATGTGTCTCTTTCATAAACTGTGCAGTATCAGTGCAGAGGCTCTGGCCAATGAGGCTGCAGTAGGCACTAAAATGGCCAAGCCAATGGCTAGTGTCTGTGTGGTATATAAAGAGGGGCCAGAGACCTCCAGAGTTGGGTGACCCCTATTTTGGCTGTGGTGAACAGGATCTGATCCCAAGGACTGTTACCTCTGTACTTGTCTGGTGTGCAGGTAAAGAAATGATTAGTTTTGTGGGGTTAAAGAAGAGCAGACGTGGAGATATGGATTGGGAGAACAAGCAAAGCATTTAAAATAGCACAAACAATTAGTTCTGGCTACTTTTTCTTTTAATGAAAAGCTGTGGACATGAAGTCCATGATGAAATCAAAGGATAATTGTGCAACAAATCTGGTACATTTGCATCAATATGATGCATTAAAAAAAGAGCTAATTTCATTGAATTGTTCTCCGTTAAGATTAAGCTTAAAGATCATGCTTTAACAGACAGGCTGTGGTTCCAGTGATAACTTGTGTCAATCCACTCTTTATTCTCGCTCTCTGCATATGATTTTCTTTTGGACAGTGATTTATGTGGACAGGTGCTTCGCAGTTTGATACATGTAGGAGAGACAGACTGAAGTCCCCCATGTGTCATCTGCGACTTTTGCTGTTTCAAAGTTACACTTTTGGAGCTTTTTGGCTGTAAACTAATCAGAAAATTGTCACATTGAAAGGGATTACTGATTTAAAGAACGGCTAATTTTGTAAATCAGTTTGGGACTGAGGTGCAGATCATATTTCATGTGATGTAACGAGTGCGTCATTGCATGCATCATGCACGTACTCATGTTGAACAGCTTATCAGGTAATGAGTGTAAGAAGAGTATATATTGTTGGATCGCAGTAGCTGGACAAGTGTGCTGCTAATCAGGCTTCTTTCAGCATTGTGACAATTATACTGTTGCAGTAATCCTGTACAGTGACACAAAGACCTTGTAGTGCTTTCAGTGAAGACACGCCTGTGCTGGAACTGACCAGTCAAGTTTTCATTTATGTGCATTTATGTGTCAATGTGCAATCAGGACAGTTGTGATTGTACGTATAAAGCTTTGCTTGTAGATACTGAGGACATAAAGGGTACACATTCAGATGTACTTGTGCTAAAAATACCCAGCCAACAGGCACTCCTCCCTGTACTCTGTTTCAAAGTGACATCTGAGCTGCTGGAAATTGAGTGACACTTGTTACCAAGATTCCTCTGCCGACACCGCTTAAAACTTGCAGCTGTCACACAGAATATCCCGTATCTCCAAATGCTGCAGAAATTTTGTGACTATTTCGATCACCTCCACAATCTCCAGATGAAACAGTTTATTATCGTTCCAAGATTTAGTCAAAGGCTTTTCCCTCATTTTGCAGTGTTAGAAAGCAATCATGCCTTTCGGAAACACCCACAACAACTTCAAGCTCAACTACAAAGTTGAGGAGGAGTTCCCAGATCTGTCCAAGCACAACAACCATATGGCCAAGGTTCTGACCAAGGAGATATATGGCAAGCTGAGGGACAAACAGACACCCAGTGGCTACACTCTGGATGATGTCATCCAGACTGGTGTAGACAACCCTGGTGAGATATGTTTCATATCAGATAAAGAAATCTGTTTCATTCCTGATTAACATTAGCCATAAAAACTAATTCTTTCATTTCTGTTCCCCCTCCGAACACACACTTCTTACTTACATTCTTCAGGTCACCCCTTCATCATGACTGTTGGCTGTGTTGCTGGTGATGAGGAGTCCTATGAGGTCTTCAAGGATCTGCTTGACCCTGTCATCTCCGACCGTCATGGTGGATACAAGCCCACTGACAAGCACAAGACTGACCTCAACCATGAGAACCTGAAGGTACCGCAGATTTCATGGAGGAGACATACTTTAACAAAAGACTTACTGCACAAGTCTTCAGATGTTGAACTGATTTAATGGTTTAGCACATCTGTGCATTGCTCCAGGAACTCTGTTATTTATTTATCTTTTTTCACCTGGGACTCAAAGTTTATTTGTCTTTAGGGTGGTGACGACTTGGACCCCAACTACGTTCTGTCTAGCCGTGTTCGTACTGGTCGCAGCATCAAGGGATTCACCCTGCCCCCCCACAACAGCCGTGGAGAGCGCAGAATTATTGAGAGGCTGTCCATTGAGGGTAAGTATTCAAAGGAAAAGGACTGCGTCTTTGAATTTAAGCGTCCAGTGTCAGTATTATCAGACAATATTATCCCTGCTTTGCTCCTAACTGCAGCTCTGAACAGCCTGGATGGTGAGTTCAAGGGAAAGTACTACCCCCTGAAGACCATGACTGATGCTGAGCAGGAGCAGCTGATCGCTGATCACTTCCTGTTTGACAAGCCCGTGTCTCCCCTGCTGACCTGCGCTGGTATGGCCCGTGACTGGCCTGATGGCAGAGGCATCTGGTGAGCACTGTCATTAAGTGTTAACAGGCTGAATGTGAAACATTTTCCTTAGAAATCTTTTGTCTGCATTATCTGTGTGTTCCCCTAAATGTGAAACTATATCTGCTCAGGCACAACGAAAACAAGACCTTCTTGGTCTGGGTGAATGAGGAGGATCACCTTCGTGTCATCTCCATGCAGAAGGGTGGCAACATGAGGGAGGTGTTCAGGCGTTTCTGCGTTGGCCTGCAGAAGGTATGCAGATATAACAGGCCTCGGAAAGCCGGGATGAAATGAAAACAATTGTTCAGGATGTTTTCACGACTCTTCTTCTTTCAAACCTGCCAGATTGAGGAGATCTTCAAGAAGCACGACCGTGGCTTCATGTGGAATGAGCATCTCGGGTACATCCTGACCTGCCCCTCCAACCTGGGCACTGGCCTGCGTGGTGGCGTCCATGTCAAACTGTCCAAGCTGAGCACACATCCCAAGTTTGAGGAGATCCTCACCAGGCTGCGTCTGCAGAAGCGTGGCACAGGTAAACACTCATATGCTTGTGGACCAGCTTGAACAGCCCAGTGAAATCTCCACTGCGACTCTGACTTTTGCCCTTTCTCTTTAGGTGGTGTGGACACTGCCTCTGTGGGTGGTGTGTTTGACATCTCCAACGCCGACCGTCTGGGCTCCTCTGAAGTGGAGCAGGTCCAACTGGTGGTTGACGGTGTCAAGCTGATGGTTGAGATGGAGAAGAAGCTGGAGAAGGGAGAGAGCATTGACAGCATGATCCCAGCCCAGAAGTAGAGAGGGACAATCTTCCGTTTTTCTCGTGACCGTTCATGTGTAATCGAGCCAACTGATGGACACGCAGAGGAAACAGCCGCTCAACTAGAGACTCTTGACTCTGAAAACTTCTTTCTCTTCTTTCCTGCTTTTTCTTTTCTCTGTCCTCTTTTTTTTTTTTTTAAGTTCTCCCGTGTTGGTTGGTAACATCCTGGGATCAGCCTCCACTGAGCTGGGCTTGCCTGGCGAATGTGGCATCACCTACTTTTTGTTATAAAAAGTAAAGATTATTGAAGCTGCTCATACTGCTCAATAATAAAGTGCCCTGTAAAACAACTAAACGAGTCGTTTTTGTCTTGTTGCAGTATAATCGACAGATAGAGGTTTTGGAAAGTAGTAGCTTTGAAAACAAGATGGCAAAATGATGGAAAAAATTGCCAACATCAGTGAATTTTATTCATCTTCAGCTCCATGTTCTCCTTACGCATCACACCCACTCATTTCAGGTTACAGTTTGCTTCTGATGGGAGGAATTAAACAGTAGAAGAGAGTAAAATTACTCATACAGGTCAAACTGTGTGTGTTCTTAAGTCTCTTTTGCATGTAACATTAACTGTATCCAAAATCAGTTTTGAAATGACAGTGAATGTTAAATACTGAGCCCCTCGGGTTTCTAATACTGTCATCATCCACCATTTAAACCATTTAGACCAGTGATACACCTTTTCCGATCAGGTATACAAGCATTTACCCAAACACTCACGTCACCAAAACCTCTTTTTGAGAATTCTTCACAGTAGAATCCCCCTGATTCATCCATCTTATACTATGAGTGAGTTGTTTAACCATAAGTTATTTGCTTTTCTCTTTTTTTCAACCCATTTAGTTCAAAAGTTCCAGCTGAAATGCTCAGCAAACAACCTGAAACGTTTCTATGGCTTGAATGCAGACAGGGACTTGGAAATTCAAGTTAAAACTGCACAATTTATTCCAACTGCAGCTGTCCTCGTGCAGGATCTAAATCATTTTTCTTATGTACGAGGTGCACTCAAAGAGTTCACAGACTCCTGTTGTGCAGCATGGTACGGTCATGTGTACGTAGAAGATGTCAAGTAGGACTTTAAGAGACGTGATTCCACATTTTGTCACTCTATCAACATGAAAACCTGTGATAGACAAAGTTCTGTAGATAGGCTTTTGCACTTTGTACCATGGAGCTGAGGCAGCATGTGGGCATCTTTGACCCAACATTCAGACCCAGGATCTGGCATGAATTTGTCCCTCGGTGTCATATTATTGTTGGGTTTTTACCTCACAACATAAAGAGGCGAATTTGTTGTGATCTGGTGCTATATAAATAAAATCAAACTGAACTGAGTATTTCCAATGTAGAGTTCTATAGTAGCAGCCTACTACAGAACAATCAGCTCAAATGCACGTGCAAGTGTTTGGACCATACCAGCACAATCGTTGCTCACCGCCTGCTCTGCTACACAGAGGTGCGTCTCTGCGACCTTGTCTTCTTCGCCGCAACAAGTCTTGTAATTCTTTGACTGCACCTCATACTCTACGCTGTGGTATGTTTTACGGCATATCCAAAGGCTTCTATAAACTCAAGATGCCCTCTTGAATGAGTGCTGAAGCTATCCTGTTGCAACAAGGTGGAGTGAAGTTACTGTGTCTCACATGAGCCCTTCTGTTACTTTTTGTGAAGGGGGGTGGGGGATATTCTGGCATTTCATTTAGCAACTCATATCTGAAAAGTGACTGTGTGTGTCTGCATTTCACAAAGCTTCCAGTCCAAGGTGTGCATCACATTTCATTTTTTCCAGTATAACCCAAACTCTGAACTCATGCAAGATTGCAGCTTGGTTTTGTTCCCCATTATCACTGACAGAAACTGCTTTAATCTAGAATTACTTCCCTTGCTCTAGCTATAAATAAACCTTGAGCTCTAAGATATATACTATATTCATATATTTTATATACAGCCATCAACTGACTGATATAAATCCTGTTTTTTTAATGATATTATTCTAAAAAATAAATAAAGTACCTGTGCAAATATCCACAAATCGAAGTGTTTCACATTTAAGACATTGGCGCCTTCCAGTGGCTAGTTCTGGGTATTACCTATACAGGTACACTGGAAGGAGCTGATTCAAGTCAAAGCAAAGTGCATTGAGGTCTATATTACCTAATGCTAATATACACCACAATGAAAAACGTCCAGGGAGAGGACAAGGACAGACTCCTGATGTCCACTCTGGTGTCTGCTTCTCACCCTGAGGGGGAGGGCAGGTCAACATCGACTTCCCCTGCTGGGCTACGTGAAACAGCAAACACCATACTGGACTGAAAATGTAGAACAATGTGAGAGAGTGGATGATGGCTGACCATTTCCCTGCAATAAAGAAAGACGAATGCTCGACCGGATAAAGTTGGCGGTACGTATGGAGGCGGCGAACAGAAGGTCAGCGATCCCTGTAAAATGTAGGGGTGGGAATGGAATGGGGTGGGGCTGGGTGTTGGGGGTAGGTCACCATGAGCAAAGCCACAACTGAGAGACAGTATTAACAGTAAATCAGCAGCCAAACAATATGATCTCTGTAGCCTACGCAAATATCACAGTACATTATTCACTAAAAACAGGGAGGGAGAATAGAAAGCTCTCGCACTTTTCTCTCTCTCTTTTTTTTGTTTTTTACTTTTTTACATTAAATGTGTATTGTATGAAGGCGCTGGGGGTAGTTCACTTTAAAGGCAACTGGACTAACAAGAAGAAAACACTGTCCACACTGCCTTCGTCGTGCCTTTCCGAATACAGAGCGCTCCCCCCTCCCCTGATCCCCACGGTCATCAGTAATGGACAGAGCAGTTAATACACGTACCACAAGAAAAAGAAAAGAAGAAAGAAAAAGGGCGGGCGTTAGAGGAGTGCACGCCGCCTCTGTGTGTGTGACGGCGAGTGTGTAATCCAAGCGCTTGCGCTGCTGCTTGGCCGATCCACTTTTTGGCGTTTCCCACCGACAGAACTGAGGCGACGACTAAAGTGAGATCACGACTGAGGTGAGATCGCACGGCACAGAATAGAAGCGGCAGAAGAGCTGCCCTGCACTGAAAATACACCAGAAATACTGAATCTCTCTAAGTCTGTGGTGGGGTGAGTGACGGTCCACCTCTGCTAATGACAACTGACTTATTACAAGGCTGCTAAAGAAAAGTGAAGGTTGGTGAAATCTAAATGACTCGGTTGGGGGTCGGTCACAAATACTGAAGGACGTTGATTTTAGCCAATTTTAGCGCCTGTATTTATTATAGAGGGTCATTAAGGACAACTTACTGCAGCGAATTATCATATGTAATAATTTAAGAGCGTTATCCCAGCAAACATAGTGAAATATAAATGATGGACATAGCCAGAGTGAAATCAGCAAATGGTTTTTAGCTTTGCATTCTGAAGCCTCAATGGTAGCTTTGTGGCAGCTGCCTTAATAGAATCTTTTTGCCCACACATTATTGCAGTGGACTGCATACAGGTCATACAGACTAACACATGGATACAGCCTCTGTGGCTGACCTATTGGTTTTTGGATTATTCGGGCAATTCTATATTATTTGCCAGATTATTTCTTTATAAATTATCCAAAAGGTACCAATACCACAAACATAGTTCAAAGATCCAGTTCAGTAGCTCATATTAACAAAGATTGGCAGACACCAATGAGCTACAGTTGCACATCTGTTAACACATCTGTAAAGTGACTGTAAGGCCAACACTGTTTCTGTACCACAGTGCAAGCATGCTATTAAGTGCTGTGAAGAAGATGAGAGTCTATGGAGATTGATTCACATTTGGAGCCTGCCTCAAGTGGCCAGTAGAAGAACTGCAGTGTTTGGCACTTGAACTTTTTTTCATTACTGGAGGTTATAACTCGGTTACTACCGGTAATGGGAAAAGAGCACCATCTGTCTTCCCTTTTTTCAACCCACGTGATTGACAGCTTAATTTTGACAGTAACTGATAGTCTTTTGACTTAAGCATAACGTAGTTTGAGTCATAATTTAGGTGTCATAAATTGGTTTAGATTTAGTTTTGACTGGTAACAGTTTCTCCACACCATTTCCAAAGGATTTTTTTCTTTGACATCAAATGCAAAATGTGTCCACATGTCTGATCTTCTCTTCCTCCCAAGTGCTGGATATTTTGATTCTCATATAAGAAACAGGGAGCATGACAGCTAGCTGTGACGTAGTTGTACCATTTCACAGTGGCAGATCATATATGCGCATCTAACCTTTCTACACTTCTACACAACTTCATTAGTTCTGATTGGATCTCATCTCTCCAGGATGTTTTCATATCAGTTTTATCTGTGGATGAAAGTGCATTTCATCACACTTTTTGTCCTCCTGCATTAGCTTTGTTTTAGTTATCGCCTTGTTTATGTCTGAAAAAGCATTTTGTTGATGACTCTCTGTGATAAATGATCAGCTGATCAGGATAAGAAATGTTTTCCTCGTGGTGAGAATGTTTTGTCCGCTCTTTGTAATCAGCACATTTTTCCCTTTGGAACTATTTTTCAACCCATGTTGGATGTTTAGAATGAGCACTGATCTAACTCACCACTGAAATGTTTGCTGGGATAATAAAAGGAGGAAATCAGCTGGACTGATTTAGCGTTAAAGAAGGCTGAAAAATGGAGCTTGACCTTACAGTTACTACTGACCGACATTAGCTAAATTTGAAGCGTCTGCTCTCGTCACTCAGAGAAACTAATGTGACTGAGAGGCCATAACTCCGTGCTGCACTCAAGCTTCTGACTGGCTGTTTCAACGGCCCGTCAACCCCATCCCCTGACCTTAATCCGGCGTGTTTGTCACTGCTGTATTTACCCGACTCAAAGCAACGTAACACTGCGGCTGCTCGTCTGATTGCTGAGTTGGACCATTTCCTTGTTTGTGCATGTTACTATTTTAGCAGGATAACTATCGGTGAGGGGGGAATATTAAAAATTTTAAAAACAAAACAGTAACACAATGTAAAGGTGACATATAAAAAAAAAAGTGTTAAAAAAAGGATGGATGAGGATGTCAGAGAGACAGGAGGTGATTTTCTGCAGTGGTGAAAGTGACAGTGAGTAAAAACAATGACCAGAACAATAAATAACAAAATAAAGAGTCATTATGGCTAGGAGTAGCAATAAAAAATATTCAACTTATTCCATCTGATCCAGGTCCAGTGGGAGCAGTAGCTCAGGGAAGGGAAAGCTGAGCTGTGTTGGGTAGGGTGGAGAGAGAAGGGGGCAGGGGGTAGGAGGGTGGATGTTTTAGTC